TGGCTGAGTGAATGGGATTACAGGTGTGTGCCTTCACCTTCGCATGGTGGTCTCCCTGAATGCATGCCTGCATCCAAACTTCCTGTTTTTATAAGGACACCAGTCATATTGGACTAAGTCTCCCCTACTGTAGTATGAGCTCCATCTTGACTATACATTTATAAAAGGGCTATTTCTAAATCAGCCACATTCTGAGGTTCTGAGGGTAGAACTTTGCCATATGAACTTTGGGAACTCTTCTTAATGAGAATAAATTAATTCTTAATTAGAATAATACTGCACTTTGGGAGCAATGTCGTCCAGCACTTTTGTTGACTTCTGCATGGGTCGTGTGTGCAGATCTGTTAATGCTGACCTGCTCTAGGTTTCTAGATCCCATTTGCTCCTCTTTCTGTTCTCCTGAAAAGTGCTTGACACTTTAACCCACCATAGCTGGCATTTTCACTTTTTGTCTGTCACAGGCAGACCTATGAGGAAGGAAAGCCATTTGGAGAAATTTAGCCTCTTGTGTCTGTGCTCCTCCCTCTGCCCCATAGTCCGTGTCTTGTGAGCTTCAGAGGTACTCCTTGGGGACTGGAGGTGCAGCTCAGTGGCAGAGCACTTGTCTATCACATGCAAAGCCCTGGGTTAGGTTCTCAGCACTGAGAGAAAAAAAGGTGCAGAAGTGCTCCTTCAATACTTCCTGGACTTTGCTGCCTGCAATTAGGAATTAGTTTGTTGTTGTTCCTGTTGTTGTTGTTGCTTTTTGAGACAGGGTCTCGCTTTGTAGTTCAGGCTGGCTCTGAACTCACTATGTAGCCCAGGCTGGACTTGAATTCACAGTGACCCTCCTGCCTCAGCCTCCTGCATGCTGGGATTACAGGCATGCGCCACCACGCCAGGCTAGTTTGTTTAATTGTTTTGCCTGCTTATGGTTGAGAGCTTTTTTCAAGTCACATCAGAATGCTTCCTTAGTCATCATGCAGTCACCATTTTATTTTGTATATATCTGGGCTCCTATTAAGAGTTTTTAGAAAAGTTCCCTATTGAGCACTGCCAGAATCCAGGCACTTCTAGGAATTCACGAAGGCACTAGTGCTAGCACTTCTAATTAGCTGATATAATAATAGTGGTCCTGAAGCCGGATTAGGGAGATTCTGGGCTGTTTAATTTTTAGTTCATTTTAAACATCATGAGGAGTTTCTGTCTCATGCATCAGAAGCCACGGGGAGGATTTTGATGGAACAGGAGCTAGTGATTTGCATTTCACCTGTACAGAAGAGGTGTTGACAAGTAAGAGTAGACAGAGTCACCCAGGGATAGAAAGCGGGACCCAGCACCACAAATTAGACCCAGCACCACAAGTTCCACCTGAAGGAGGAACTGGAAGAGGTCAGAGAGGAGAGAGGGAAAGTGCAATGGCATCAAGGGGCTGGGGTAGAGCGTTATTTCCAGGGAGGCTGAGCACCTAGTATTGAAGGGGAAGGGTGTGGGTGATGCTTGCTGTATTTGGGGAATGGTAGAAATGAGATCTTGTTTGTATGATACACTCGTGAAAAATAAGGGCAAAGAGTCAGGGGAGCACCCTGCTCCTTCAGAATTTCGAATCAAGTGGGAAGAAGAAAGAGGGATTGGGTGGCATCAGAGTTGACCCTCAGCAGTTGTGTCTTATGTAGAGATGAGGGAAACGCAGAGTATAAGGAGGGTAGCGGAGAGTATAGAGGTGGTGACATTCTGGCATGAAAATACATGGAATCCCGGGCAACTTAGTAAGCTAGGGAGACCTTGTCCCAAAAGCGGGCGTGTGGACTGGGGATGTTGCTCAGCACAGAGGCTCTGAGTTCAATCCCCATTAAGGAAACAAGCAAATAAATAAATAGGCATGGCCTTTAAGCCTCTAAAGTAAAATGAATTAGTTTGAGTTCAGGTTCTGCTATATATTTTTTGAGAATTAATAAATCTTAATTTTCTTTTCTTTTTTTCTTTTTCTTTAATTGAGTTTATTGGTACATTTTAGGTATACAGTACAGCTATATTCATCATTGGGATCTTGTACCTCTACATGACAGGTCTTGGTTCTCATTTTTTTCCCCTTGCCCCTGCCCTCCCTTCACCCGCTCCTCCCTTCCCTATTTGCAATGTGAAATGGGAAGAAAAGGGCTAAAGGGGTAGGGGAAAGGAAATAGGGAAAAGAAAAAAGCGAGAAAATGAAAAAATGGAAATAAAGTATTTTATTTTTTGCTTTTGGTATTTTTGGCAGCATTTTTAAGTTTGCAATACACAATGAATGCATTCATCATGGGTAGTTGATACATATACATATTGCAAAAGACACCATTTTTGTGTTTTAAAATTTTATTTTATTAATACACGTGTGCAGTATGTAATATTTGCATCCTTCGTGGGACGTAGCACATGTGAATTCTTTTTAAATCCCCTTTTCCTTGCCTCCCTTCCCTGCCCACCCATATCGTGATCCTAAGAAAGAAAGAGGAAAGGCCAGTTGTGGGTGCGAGCCCTGAAGTCAGACATCAAAACTGTACCAAGACCTGCCCGCCTCTTCAGAGGGTCCAGGTGGTGTGCATGGAAGCTTTTCATTCTTTTGTGTTCTGTCATTTTCCTAACACAGTATGCCGGCGACTGATTTAGCCCTTCCTTTATATTTGCGCCTCATTTATCTTTCTCACATCTGCCTTTCCCCGTATCAGTTACCATTTTAATTTGCCTGTCATCCCTTAAACTTTGTTTTTCTTGTGATTTTTCCCATTCATTTCTCGTGAATTTTCTTCGTTTCCTTCCCCTTTGTGTTGGCTTGTAGTGTAGAGATGAAATGTTTTCTGTGTGCTTGTTATGTGGGTAAAGTGCTAACTCTGGCGTATGGTGTTAACTCATAGTGTTAACACAGCTATGGACTGAGAAACTGAGGTACTTGTGGCTTGCCTTGCCATCAAAAACATTTTGACACCCAGAACCACTTGCTGAAGCAGCTGTTGGTGAGGTGAAACTATTTCACGGAGTTCTAATTTAATGTAGATAACAAATATTGTATCGTACGTACACTTACATTCACACCTTTGAATATGTGTTCCTTTCCTTCTTTTCCTTTTCTCTATCTCCTTTCTTCCTGTCCCGTGATTATTATTAATTATTATTTTTGTGAACCCAGACAGTGGTTCCCTGTCAGCCCTGTCACAGTTGTTATATAAATTGCGGACCAATGCTGTTTTCTGTCCTGCATTTTTCCTGTTGCCCACAAGCTCTGCGACACCATTACTGCCCAGTGGGTCAGAACCCTGTGTCAGCAGCAGTGTGTGTAGCTGTGGCGTGAGTTAGAGCCGTGATCGCTGATGAACAGTTCCACCTCCTACTGCTCTGGGCTATTTTAGTTTGGGGATATAACTCCTGAAGTGCATTATTTACATTAAGTTCGTAACCTCTTTAGTTTCAAGGCACTTTTATATTTCTCAACATTGTCGAGACCCCTAAAGAGCACTTGCTTATGTGGGTTATATCTGTTATATTTACTGTATAGGTTTAATATTGCACACAGTATAAAGCGTAGGATTGTTTTTTAAACAAATGAGCATTCTATTTTACATAAGCATGTACGCACTCCTGGGAGGGAAGATATGGGGAAAACCAGGTGAGAAGTGGAGATTTCTTTTTTTTTTAATTGAATTTATTGGTACATTCTAGGTAGACAGTACAGTTACATTCATTACTGGGATCTTGTACCTTTACATGCCAGGTTTGGTTCTCATTTTTTCCGCCCGTCCCCACCCTCCCTTCACCCCCTGCTCACCTCCGCACCTTCAAACACTTTAATTCCATTCTTACATTTTCTCATATTTTTTTCCTTTCCCTTATGTCCCTTCCCTATCCTTCTCACTGTCCCTACTCCTTTGGTTCTTTTCCTATTTCATGTTGCTAATTGTCCCATTAGGATCTTGAGTACTATTTTAGTTTTTCACATCAGAGAAACTATTTGGTATTTGCATATGTGTGACTTATTTATTTCACTTAGGAGTACATCCTCAAAATGTACCCATTTACCTATGAATGAATCTACTTTCTCATTCTTTATGGCTGAGTAGTATTCCATTTTATAGAAAAACAACATCTTTATCCAGTTTCCAACTGAGAAGTAGAGATTTCTAATCTCACTCTTTAATATCCGGATGCTTATGAAGGGGTTTTAACATTTGAAGAAGGAAGGAGGATGATGCAGATTTGTCTACATTCCTACTTGATAAACCTTTATGGAGAAGCACAAGAATTTTTAGCTGATCTCTGAGGAACTGAGGGGCCTCTTAACGCACCTGTGCTACACTTGTAAGCCCTCAAGAATGAGGACAGTCAATCACCTATTCATTTTATTTTTAAAACAGTTTTCACCTTGCAGATCTCAAAAGGGACACAGGGATCCTTTGGGGGCCCCAGAAAACACTGCTGATTTAGATATTTGGTGATAAATACTGAGTATTTGTTTTGGAACCTCCAGAAGTGGTAGGGGATCACTGGAAAATATTGAGGGCCTCTTCTTGTTACTAGAAATTCATAGCACATGTGGTTCCCTGCTGACACATAAGACAGGCCTGTACATCTGAAAATGAACTTATGCATATATGCAGTGAAAATAATTTAGTATCATTTTTTTGACCATTAAAATCTTAGCATGACTTAGTGAGTCATCTTCTTGGCATTATTGCAAAAGTAGCTTGTGAAATTCAGACCGAATATCATCACTGCCAAGAAAATCACCAGGGTTCTGGTTATGCTTTTCATTATCTGGTTAACCAAGAAGCACTTCAAGGGTGTGTGTGTGAACATCATATCCTCTTTACCATCAGTCTGCCAGCCTTTCAAAAATTCTTTTCTCATACAAAAATGTGATATTATTTACAATTGATGAGACGCCATTAATGAACAACACCAATCATTTTGGTAGAACTTTCTAGGTAGCTTCCACCTCTGTGTCTAAAAATTTGACTCTGTAAGTCTAATCATTTGCTTCTTTTCAGATAGTTTTGAGATAGCAGAGTCGTTGAATCATAGCCACATGGTCTCAAGGCCTGGAAACATCACACTCACCTATGATCTTCCAGTGGACTGGGCAGTGCAACAAATCAAGTGGGAGAAGATCCAGCCGCACCAGATAGACCTCTTGGTGCGCTGCAATCTGTCCGAAGGCATAAGTTACTCCAGATATAGAAAACAAATATTGACCAACTGCACGCAGGGCATCAGAAGCAACTTCATCATCATTACCAATGCCACTGCCTCCGACTCTGGGCTTTATCGCTGCCATTTTACAGCCAGAACTGGAGAAAACAAAACTTTCCTGATGAATCTGACCATTACTGATGGTGAGTGAGCTCTGAATATTTTTCCAGGTGCAGTAGCTCATGCCTGTAATCCCAGATTCCTGGGAGACTGAGGCAGGAGAATTTCAAGCTCCTGCCTTGAACAATGTATCCAGTCACTGTCTCAAAAGAGAAAAAACAAAAGAAAAAGTTAAAGAGGGCTGGTGATGTGGCTCCATGGTGGAGTGCCTGGGTTTGATCTCCAGTAACATTAAAACAAAATGAAACAAAACAAAGCAAAATAAAACCCAGCCAAACAGCAACAACAGCAACAATAGAAACAACAACAAAACTAGCCCTTGTGAATTGGTCTCTGTTCTTTTTATTTGTGGTAAACATATTTATTTAATGCAACATTAATGGCTTGATATAGATATAGTGGCAATTAATTATTACATTTTAGAATTTAATGTTCTATCCAGCACAGAATATTTTTTATTTTTCTATCTGCTACATTCTTGACATTAAAAAAATTAATAAAAGCATATGACATCACCAGCCTATATGTTTCAGCTCTCCAATTATATTAACATTGTTGATGGCACTGACAAGTCTCCACCCTCCCTAGTAATGACAAGACAATGCTGGATTAGTGTGTGGGAGCCAGTCTCGAGCTGACCAGAATGCAGCTGCTGCTTGCTGGTGTTGGTTGCTAGTTTATGAGATCAGACCTTGTTTTGCCACAGCCATTTTCAGACCTAGGCAGAGAAGCAGACTGAGCTCGAGGCTAACAAAACTGACCTTTAGGACCTCTGTCTAAGCAGAACCCTTCAGAGGGGCTGCATTCACTTTGGATTTGTAATTTGTCCCCAGTTTGTAAGTACCAGGCTGATCAATACCTGGAGAGAGAGAAAAGGGGATTTTTTCCCCCCGCTTATGAAAGTACAAATATACGTAGATGCCTTGGTGGAGGCCTGTGTTACCTTTAACTGGGCGGTAGTCAATCTCAGTTTATCTCAGCTCTGTCGTGAGGAAGATTTGTCATTGCTGAGAATCATGTCCTACAAAATAATTATTTTTACCAGTAATAAAATTTTCATTCCACTTTATTCTCACTCTAGCCTTTCCTCCCTCCTTCTTTCATTCCTTCCCTCTTTTTTTCTTCCATCTACTTTTAGCCAGTTCATTTCCTTGGCTTCTATTTGGATTTTTTTTTTTTTTTGAGACAGGGTCTCACTAAGTAATCTGGGTCGGCCTTGAAATTTAGATCTTCCTGCCTCAGCCCCCCAACTGCTGGGGTTATAGGTGGGCACCACCACACCCAGATTATATGTAGCCTTTGACTGCTTTTTGTGGTCTCTGTTTATACTGCAGACTTATATTTCTGCCTGCACTGAAAACGAAGTAAAGATTTTTGGGAAGAGCAGCCTTTGCAGTATGTAGTAAGGAGGGCGATGGCTAGAGGACAGCACTTTTCACCTGCAGCCACTTCCGGGCCACACGAGGCCAGCAAACCACATTGTTTCTCTCCATGAGAGCAGGAGCTGTGGTGAGATGTACGTTGCCCTTCAGACGTAAGGTCAGACAGTGGTTGACCTTAAATCATGGCGGAAAAATGAGCAGGTTCCTCTTTTAAATATCATACGACTCCATCCCTGAGAGCATAGACAGAAATAGTTCTTACCTCAAAAAGAGTGCTTTTCTTTTAACCTAGTCAGGAAAAAGAAAGTAAAATTTTCTTGATGCCAAGAAGAGATAATGTTCCGCTCAGAAAAATATCACAAAGAATCATTTTCAAACACATGTGGAAGAAGGTCTTGTTCATTAGGTGCTGAAAAAGTAATTATAAACATGTTAAATCATAGATGAAATGAAAGTCATGGATTTTTAGATTAGTCATTTAACTTTTACTAATTATAATGACATCTTTCCTTTATCCAAATATGGCTGAATGTCTTGCACAGAATGATTTCCTTGTAATAAAGTGTAAACAACATTAAAATCTGCCAGTGAAATGAAGGTGACAGTGTAATGGTAGGTATGGTCCGTGTCTCTGAGTTTGAAGAAATGCAAAATGGCTTTTTGACATTCAGTTGGCAGATTGAAAGAATAACAATTGGACTTTTCGTCCATTAGTAAAAAATTATAATGGAAGGAAGAGGACAGCCATGGACTATATATTTTAGCTGAATTCCTCCTTTCAATTATTATAAATAAGGAAAGATTGAATCCAAAAATTTAAAGAAAAAATATGATAGATCATTTTATTTTCTCTGGTGCGGTTTGATTATTTCAAACCCTAAAGCAGTTTGCTCAAAAATCAATGTAGAGATTAAAGCAGAGAGACAGGTAGAAGATGTAGAGTGGATTTAATTTATTTCAATTGTTAGGGGAAAGGTGACTGTGACACAAATTTTATAAACTGCTCTACATCGTTTTGTTAGTTCCCATCAACTTCTTTTATGGGACACACTATTGGATTTAGAAAAGGGAATTTTTTAACACTCAAATTTATAAGTACACATGGGCTTTTGTTCTGACTTTTGCATTCCCATGTTCATCTTCAGAGAAGAATCTGTTAGACCGAGGTCACCCAAAAGATTCTGTACAACCTGATAATTGTACCATTGCCAACCAAAGCATCATCTCTCCAAGACTTAATGTATTCTGGACAGAGGAAGAAAATGGCAAGTCTGAGTTTACTTGCTACTGACTCTGCAGAGTGGGAAGATATACTGAGCTTCTGTCCTTTGCACACAGGACCTGCAACTTATTAAGAAATAGCTCCAGATTAACTTTTCTGATTTTAAAACTTGACCACATGTGCAAGAAAGTGGAGAAAATCCTACTGACAGTGACCAGATTTTTTTTTTTTTGGTGGTCAGTATCCTCCAAATTTTCCTTAGTCATAAGAGATGTAGTTTAGATGCCACCAAAATAAATTGTGAAGTCCATTTCATATTAACCAGGTGGTGCACAGACTGTTAGTGTATAAACAACTTCAGCAGAGTACACTGGTGAAGCTATCTAGTCCAGGAGTGGGTACAGACCACAGGCTCCAGATCCACTTTGACTAGACTCAGAAATAGTTGTGACAAAGATAGAGGGATTCAGAATGATATCATTCTCAATGACATCAGTACAGCCACTCACACTGTCCCACTTTTTCCTGTTTTTTTTTTTTTTTCCTATTTTGTTTTGAGACAGAGTCTTACTAAGTCGCTAAATTGTCCAAGCTTAAACTTGCAATCTTACCACTTCAGTCTTCCAGAGTTTTGGGATTACAAGTATGCAGCACCATGTTCAGCTTTATATTTTCCTTTTATCAATCAATCTTATTTTTCATCGTATTTAGGTCCTTTCCCATAGAATGTAGTTAAAGTCTCTCTGTTTTCACGTCTTGTCCACACTAACCCCAAATGTCTTCCTATCTTTCAATCATTAAGCATTTTGATTTTCTGAGACTTTTATAACTCAAAGATTTCTACCCTCAAGTGAACTGATCTACACGTTTGTATGGTCTACACTCAACAATACTTAAGGTAAAGGCTATGGCACCTTGGTTGTTAAAGTCTCTTTTAAGCATGTGCTCAATAAATATTCTTGCCTGATTTTGTGTTTTAAGTTTCAGTTTTTGTCTGTGCAGATTATTTTGAGATTGGTTTCATCAACTTTTAACTTTTGAGGTTTAGTGATTGTTGATCAAAGAAAGTGAGCTTTCAGAAGATCAATTGCAATGATTGGGGAGAAAGACTTTGTGAACTTTTGCCTAAATTTATAATTTTCAGAAGGGACTATTTCTGTTTTTAAAACTTTGGCTTTTTTATTTTGCATTTTTGCATAAATTCTGGGTAATTGCAAGTCTTCAGTGTTAGAGGATGGAATATGTAAATTAAGATTATAGACATGATCACTGGGAAATAGTGGTACTATAGCCTATGAAACATTCCCTAGTTCTTCTGTATAGGATTGGCAAAGAGGTAGAATGGGGGAATAGTAAATACATTAACTATGGATTATAAGTCTTGCCTCTCAGTGACTTGGTGAAGATTACTGTTTTGGGGACCCTGTGCTCTTCAGTTGAATTATGAGAACATTGAAGAAGAGATAAATTGGTCTTTAGTTTCCACTAAATTTTTACTTTTTGCTCTCAATGGATTTGGATTCTAGAACAGTTTCAGATTGTAGACAAGCTTTTTGTTGTTTATTTTTAGGATTTTGTTAATTCTGAACTCTCTTATTCACATGAATTTAAACTGGTTTTGAAGATTACAGGTGTGTGGATAGATTGAGCAAGGATCTGCTGAGTTGGTGGGTATGGTTATTTCTATGGCAAAGGTGACAAAACTCAGCCTCTTATCATCTGTATCTATATGGAAAATAAAGCATCTTGAAAATTATATGATTAAACCATATAACCAGACACCCAGATTGCTAGTTACATTGCTCATAAGTTAAAATAGCCACTACTGACACAGATCAACCACTATTTTCAGCCCAATTTAGTTTTGTTTTTAAAATTCTGGATGATAAGTGGCTATCCAGATGTAATGTCGTTTCCTACATCACAAGTGAGTTGATTACTCAATCATGACTGATTATGTCATTGCATCTTTATAGTTGCCCCTGCCCAAGTCAGTATTTTTTTAATATTGCATTTTTTAAAAAGGCAACTGGTCAGTTAATTTATTTTGTAAATTCCATGTGCTGATTAATTTTTTTCTAATACACAAAATCATAGAATGATTGCCTGTAGACATTTCAATACACATATTTATGTAGATTGATAGTGTATTAAATTGAATAATAGTGACAAGTTTACATAAAAGTGACAGAAATTCTGAAAGGTTACACATTAAATTAATTTGATGAGTTGCACTGTTGAGTATCTATTGCCACCTGATGTACATAAAGTAAAATCTAACCAAACACTGCTATTAAAAAATGCAAGAGAATAGAATTAGAAAGTAGTTGATCCTAGGAATTGCTCTTCTGTAAATGTGCCCTCATCAGATTGAATTTTAACGCCTTTTTATTAAGTTTCCCTCTCTTGTGGAATTTAG